TTCATATATGCGCATACATACTTATATTTATATATAATATACATAAAATAGTTTAAAATTCCTTGCTATCAATTTTTATAAACAATGCATAAGCTCAAAAAGAATATGTTGACAGTTTTAAAAATGGAAATGTGAATTTTAAATTTAATTTAAATTTAAAATTACAATAGCTAAAAATAATACCATAGTAAATAAAATTAAATTTTATTTATTTTTAACTAACGGCGAACTTGGATGCATAGAGACATATGTATGTACCTAGATATATTTGACGCAGTGTGCCAAAGTTAGTCAAATTATACATGAAAAATAAAAACATATGGATAGACAATAGTATGTGTATGTTTGTGTGGATATGTATGTACGTATACATATGCATATTCATATATTTTTGCGCTTATGTTTGACTAAGCATATCATTAAGAGATCTTGAGACGGCCAATGCGAGTGCCTGCCTCGACCTTGATTCGGTGATCAAGGCAACTAGAGCAAGCTGAAACTAGTTTCGGCCTGAAGATGAGCTTTATTCACTAATATGCATAATTGTACATGAATATATATGTATATGTATATGTATATGTATATGTATATGTATATGTATATGTATATGTATATGCATGCATATACATATGTGGGCCAGGCTAAAGGTCATTCTAGTACTTCCGATTTCAACTGTATTTATTTTGAATCAATAAAAACTTTGATGCGTCATACTGAAATGAAAAATGGACCCAGCGAAAGCGCACATTAGCCTATGACATGTTCAGAGATAAGGTAAAAATGATCAGCGTATAGAAACATACTTATGCACAAATATAACTATAAATTCTTAGTATAAGTTTATATATAATTTTAATATATCTGAAAATAAAACATAACAAAATATACCAATATTTATATTTAGAGCCACATTTTCCTGGTCTACAATCTTATACATATATGATTCAGCCATGATATATGATATGTACATATATAAACCTACATATATATCATATCATATATCATGTGAACGACACTGAACAATTAGCTATGCCAAATGAGCCGATTTAATCATAAAAACCTCTCATTTAGTAACACATGTATATTTATATATGTACATATGTATGTATAAAATTTTAGAGTGAGTAATCCGCCACCAATACCCTCAGCCAGCCCCGATCGCCCCCTCCACCATCCCACGCAATATGCAAAAACTTAACTGTAAGATAAACAAACAGATTTACAGCGAAATTCCGTTTGCTGCTTAAATAACGTGTTGCGAATAGCAACTAGACTAGACTACGTAGATAGGCAGGTGTGGATGGGGGTGGGGGTGTGTTTAGGCAGGCAATAACAGAACTAGCAACGGCAACACTTCTGACATACCAACTTAGAGATGATACACACATGCATACATATAGTTGACACTGCTAATGAGATATTCTGAATAAAACATATTTGTTCGATTTCATTCCGTTTTTATTTTATTTAAATAAATAATAAGAAAGGCATTTTTATTAATATAAATTCATAAATATATTTTCATAAATATTAAAGAATTGCTTGCTTATCGTTTGATCGTGCGTGCTTTCGACTTGCGGTTCGTGTTGGCTAAACTTGGCACAAGCCCATCTCTAGAATAGCTGCAAAAAGCAGAAGGCGTGCTCTTACAGCAACAAAAATAAAAATAAGTAACGGTTGCTAGCATACAACAACTACAACTACATGGCAACGAAACGCCCCAAGGAACCGGCAAAAAACGAAAGCAAAAGCAACAACAAACAAAAACAACAGCTACAACTACAACTACAACAGCAACTATAAGACGACAACATGAAAAATCGTACGATTTTCGCTGCTTTTGTCTTCACAGCTAAGTTGGCAGCGACGCCTTCGTCGCTGACGTTAACAGCGACGTTGGCGCCGGGGCATCGTGCGAAACTATGACAGATAAAAGAGGCCCCAGCAAAAGAAAGTACATATATCGATAATATGAAACGTGTGACTATCGACATCCTCGATGGCTCAACTTGGTCAAGTGCAATTATGCTCACATATACTAATTCATACGTGCTTATGTACTTGTGTATTTATTATGTATGTGTGTGTGTTTGTGTGGATGTATATATATAGAACATTGCATTTGAAATATGTATATGCATGTTTGTGTACATGTGTGGGTCGGCCATTAGTCAACGACAACAACTACAACTACAACTACAACTACAACAATAACAATAACAATAACAACTATACACATACTACAACAATTCAAATAACATTTCACACCACTTTTGTAGTCACTCCCCTCTAATTCCACACAGCCCGACGTCAGCTGTGTTTAAGCTAATATTGTTTTTTTTTCTTTCTTCTTTTTCTTGAACAAGGTAAGGTAAGGCGTGCGGGTGCGAGTGCGAGTGCGAGTGAACGTAAAGCGGAAATCTCACCTTGGCTACTTCAATATGATCGTCGATTTGTATGCGATGCACAAACGGATTGATATAGCTATAGCCCTTGGATGCCCAGCTGTCCTCCTCGGAATCGCGCTTGGACATGTTGTTGCTGATGCTGATACGATTGTTGGGCAATGCCCTGCTGTTGCTGCTGTCGGTTCTGCTGCTGTTGTTGTCGCTGTCATTCTCCAGGCTTTCCCCATCATTCGATGCGGGAGCAGCGTGGGGGGAACGGCGTCGTTTAATTGAGGACGTTGTCATTGTTCGCACTTGCACTTTACTTGCTAATCGCACTTTTGCAAAATATTGTTGTTTGACTTTTCACGGACTGGTGTGTTTAGTGTGTGGCGCAAAAAAAAAACAACAATCAGCACCTCCCGCTCTTCCGTTTCTTTTTGCGTTGCCAGCTAACTGAAGTGCTGGTCAACTGGGCAAAACAGTGTTTGGTAACCTGAACTGTATCGATACGCTAATCGATAACTCGATACCTATCGCGTGGGCAAGCCACCATATTGCCACAACTTCAAAAACATGCATGTCTGGCAACACTCGAGCCGTTGCCACACTTTAATTCGGATTCGTTTTCAAACTCAAAATGTCCGTTGCTGTGAACAGCATTCAAGTGTTGTTTTGAGATAAGCCATTTACGATTAATTCCAATCTTATACATATACATATACATACGTATGTACATATATATTTATGTAGATTATGCTAACATAGGATTGAGCGCCCTTCGTCTCTTCGGCTTTTTAATAACATGTATCACCCGGCAGTTCATGGCCTTGCCTAATCTCGCGACTAGCTCGTGGCACATGTGTCTAAAACGTGCTGTTAAAATCCAAACTTGTTCAAGGTGACTGTTTACCGTTGACTCCGACGTTTATTTGGGCGACGATAAGCCTTTAAATTTGTGTGCTTTAGAGCTGGCTTTTAAAAAATGTAAGCCAACCTGTTTCTGTTATACATGCATAGGTAGTACTTGGACAAATATCACACATACCACATGCAAAACAGGTTTCCTCTCTCACTCACATTGCCGTACTCGCTCTATTTTGGGCACTAAACCCAAACCATTGTTATGACAGCGACGCTGCAGGGGGCTGAAGGGCCCAGGTGGTGTGTGGCTCATCGCAGAACTCTTTCTGTTATACGCGAGCGTGCGTTTGACCTTGCCGAAGTTTAAAGGCTGATGCAATCGGAGTTTGGGGCGAATCGCCGACGAATTCATGCGCTGTGAAATTGGCGCTACTTCCCGGCAACTGGTCTGGCCAAATTATAAGTAATTAAAACCAAATTAATATTATCAGCTTGATAAAATGATACAATGATACAATAGCTGCCACACCTCTTCTGACATTATATTACAGGCACTGGCATGCTGCACGCATATTCATATGTACATACATATATTATATGTATATTTTTCTGTATTTATTTTTAACAATTTTTGATAGTTTTGTATTTGAGCTGTGGCATTTGGCTTGTTTTCTTTTTGTTTTTTATTTGCTAATGATTTGTGGTCTGCCAGTTTTTTATATTAGCCATTTTTTGCACGAACCAGCGCTGACTGCGTGGGAGACAGTCTCAGCAGCGTCACGTGAAATCGCTTTAAGTTGCCAAAAATCTGAATATTATAATTAATGACTTTGTTCAGTCAGAGGCAAAGAGATAGAAAGATCGAAGGCCTTTCGTTATTTATCTTCTTTCGTCTACTCGACATTCAAAAATATTCCGTTAGGTGCCGCTGCATTGACCCTTGGGCTTGGGCGAGTTTCACAAATCTTACCATTTACGACGTCATCATCATTGACGTCACAGCAGGCCCTGCGCGTGGCAGCAAATACAACAACGAAATGTAATATAAGAGCGCACGATAAAAAATCAATTATTCTGTATGTACAACACACGCACACACCCACCAATATATGTAAGAATGTACGTATATATGTGCATATGCATGTGTATTATTTTTACACGTACACACACGTAGGCGGCAGAGACGATGAGCAAGCGCAAAACGGCGCGACCAACCTCCACACACTAACACATGCACGCAACGAATGTGTATATGTAGGCGCATGTGTATGTCTGTATGTGTGTATACAACGGGGCGAGCCCCCAAATCTGGATCCCAATTGCGGACAACAAATAACTTTACTAAGCAGCAGCAACAACGGCAACTGGGGCCAGCGGCAGAGGCAGAGGCAGCAGCAGCGGCAGCGACTGCAGTGCTTTGTAAACCAACAGCAGACGGACGCCACAAGGAGAGAGCAAAGATAAACAACTCTAATTTTAGTTGTCTGTGGCGGTTATTAAGTGGTTCGCGGAACTCTTGAATAATTGAGCTCGGTTCAGCTCAGCTGGTTCGCAAAGAGTTCGAGTCTTTGCCTTTACAGCCTCATGCGTTGCGAACCGGTTTCAATGAACACAAACAGGATTTCGTCACATTTTTATAAAATTACAGTTAATGCAGTCAAGTGTCTTGCAGTGGGGCGGCTCTCGCCTTCTTACATACAAACACAGAAGCTGGCAAAGTACGGGTGCATGCTACATACATACTGTATGTGCATATGAATGCATACATGTTATCGTCTAATTTCTATTACGTTCACAGATATGTACATGTACATATGTGTTTGACTATATGACCTACGCAGTAGACCCGTCCAGTCCCTGTGACTAGGCACAGACGACGCCCACAAAATTTTGTCGTCGTTTGAATTTTGTATTTCATTTTTTTCTAAGCAATTTCCGTTAGCCAGATAAGAAACCACTTGGTAATGTATATACGTATGTATGTACAATATGTATTAGTATTTGAAAAGATAAAAAATTTTATAATTTTGCTGGTGGTTCACAGCAAAAATGTAGACCCCAAACACACGCACACACACATATGTATGCACACACAAGTATGCTGTTTTGTTATTGTTCCAAGCCATTTGTTTTCAATTTAAATGTATTCATACAAATATCATATTTTTAATTGTTGTTTAGTTTTGCCAAGAAACTAGTTGAAAAAAGACACGTGCGAACCTGTCGCGCTTAGTGTGTGAATTTGATTACATGCATGACACACACACACGCATACACACAAATATGTGGGCGTGTGTCTGCTGGGCAAATATACATACATACAAACATATGTGTGTATGAGCATATTTATGTAAGTGCATAGCATATGGGCATATGCATACATACATATGTACATATGCACATGCATCCGCGTATGCTCACATGTATTCGTGTCACTTACGCCTACTATCACTCACACAGCCAAAGACACAGCTCACATGATCACGTCATTACTGTTGTTGCAATTCATGCGAGTGAACATGGGGACAAATGCTAGCAGTCGTTGCAATAGCAAAAACCACATTGCGACAGCCGAGCCTCTTTCAACAATAACAACAACATGCAAATTACACTACATACATACACACACACATACACAACATAGACATTTGTGATAAGCACGACTGCATGTACACACACACATGTGTAGCACATGTTAAGTGGTCTCGGTAAGCAGAAATGTGTCATACCCTAAGTCTAATAATCAAAGAGCAAGAAATAATAAGAGTAACGAGCATTACAAAAACAAAACCAGCAGAAAAGTAAGTTCCTTGGAACTAGTGAGCGCAAAAGTCAGGTGAGCGCTGGCGAGGTTAGGGAAATGTTTGTTGAGTTCCAGAGCAAGAGAGAGAGAGGGGTAGGAAGGCTGCTGAGTTAAGTTGCCAATACAAAGGCACAGTCGGTCGGTCGGGCAATGCGTTTCAGAGTGTTGTTGGAACGTGCGAACGTCAACGACGGCACGTAAGATATAGAAGCATGTACAAATGCAAACATGTGTATGTACGTATGCGTGTGTACAAACACACGCACATATCTATGTATGTACATACATTGCTATACACATGCATACATACACATACATGCCTGTGCATACAAACATCTGTACATGCAATGGCAGTGGAGGCTAACACCAACAACGGAAAGTGCGAGACGAGCCCCACGAACGCCAAAAGCAGGCAACGACCATCAACAAAAAATTCCATGCCGTGTGCTTATATGTATGTAATACATACTATGTATGTAAGTATGATTATGCATACATATACACATACAGTCAAGGAGAAAACAAAGAGAGCCTGCTCTGGATGGCAGCGAGCAGCTATGCAAACTTGTTCTTGTAAACTGAGCATAAACTGTTATACGCGGCAACAGCAGTAGTAACAAAGCGAACAGAAAATACAAAAAAGAGTCGCAGAAATATTTGAGAAACTTTCAGTCTATACCGACATTTGAATAACCTGCTTTCCAAGCAAAACTTTAAACTATATTCAAATTCTATAGCATTATATTATT